ACTGACACTCTGACATGCTCATTTTATCACCACAGCAGTCCTGGGAAATAGGAACCATTGTTGGCCCCATTTCTGAGATTGAAATTGAGGCAGAGAGTGCTTAATAACTTGTCCAAGGTCCTGGACTTTACCCAGGCAGTCTGCTCTGGAGGTTTTTGCCCTCAACCTTTGCTATTGCCTTTCAGCTAGATAGGGAGAAAGAATGTCAACAAGAAGTTTTAGCTGGACAAAGGTGTGGGAGGAGGTAGCTTTTGGTATGGATTATAGAAGATTACTTTTAAGATAAAATGGAAGAATGATAGAAACAGTTTATTGGCTCTTGGTTGCAAAAGAGAATGAGAAATTAAAGATTTCTTTAAAAATTCAGAAATGACCCCTAGTTCTATAAAGCTGTCTCTGCTTGCTTCTCTGTGTTTAGTTTGAACACACTTCCCTGAGCTTTGTTATTACCGTTAGGCTGTGTGCTCACGTCTGTGCCAGACACACTGAATATCATCACCTCAAAGGCACTTTACTGCCTGAGCTCTGTAGCTCAGCACCCGTCCCTCCTGCCCCCTTCCCCCCTTACTGGTCATCACAGGTGCTGTGGCTCCTTCTTGTGGAAAGGGGCAGTTCCCATTTTCAGTGCTACCCACTCCCGTTATTTCTCATCTGCTGCTTATCTTCCTGCTCTTTTTTATCTGGCTCTCCTGCACATCCCCAAGGTGATGATTATTTTTATACATCCCTGACCTGATTTCTAGTTTTAATTTATTCCCCCTTGTCTCTGAGGCCTCTGTGTGGTTCAGATTGGAGTTGGAAGACCTGGACAGGAGTTCTGCCCACATCCCTGATTGCCTTTTTACCTTTGGGCAGATCACATAAGACTCAGAAACTGTGGTTTCTTGATCTTGATCACACCTGCCCCATCTACCTCACAGGGTGAGGGTCAAATAAAAGAAATTCTTGAAAGTGCCTTTTAAAGCATAAATGTATAGCTTTATTAATATTCCCAACCTCCTAAAGTGGCCTAGTGTCCACTCCCTGCTTTGATGTTCTTCATAAGCTTTGGTCATGGTGCCTTTTGCATTACTTGTTTGTTTACTTCTGTACCCTTGAGAGCCCTGCATCTTACTCTCTTTGAATTTCCTACCACTTGACTCAAGGCCAGTTGGCATGGGTACTGGCTCAGTAATGTTTGAATGAATGGGTAAAGAATGTCTGTCTAAAGGATGTTTCTGGTCATAGTTTTGTTGTTGTTATTGTTCATTTTTTTTTTTCCTGAACAAAGTCTTCCTCCTTCTCTCTATGCTTCTTGAAGTTGGTCTTATTAAAAAGCAGCCCTTCCTTGGGGCATCTGGGTGGCTCAGTCATTTCTGCATCCAATTATTGGTTTTGGCTCAAGTCATGATCTCATGGTTTGTGGGTTTGAGTCCCATGTCATGCTGTGTGCTGACAGTGGGGAGCCTGCTTGGGATTCTTTCTCTCTGTCCCTCCCCCACTCATGTGCGTGGGCTCCCTCTCTCAAAATAAATAAATAAACTTAAAAAAAAAACCCAGCCCTTTCTTACTTTCTTATGTTCTTTTTTGCAGAATGCTAAATTCCAGTGCCTGTGGTCTCCTTCAAGATCTAGGCTTACTTTATAAATACTCATCTGATGAGTCTTGCTTTTTAACAATAAGACAAATCAATTCTTCTAGCTATTGAATTAGAGATATAAAATATTTAATGTTTATTTTTTGTTTAGTCATTTAACAAATATGCATCAAGTACCTTTTGGGTACCAAGTTCAGTTCCTGGGGGTGGGACTAGAGTAGTGAACAAATCAGATGAGATTCCTGCCCTTATGCAGCTTCCATTCTAGTTGCATGCCAGTCAGTGAGGAAGTAAATGAATAAATGAGATAATTTCAACTAATTTTAAATGCTGTATGGGGGGAATCGTGTGAAGAGGACTTCCAGGCCAGTGAGGATTCCTCACATATATAAATAAAGCTGAATATGTTATGGATGTGATGCTCTTAATTTCCCTGTGTATCAAGTTACCTTAAAGATATCTAATGGTCTTGATGGTAAGTACTTCGAGTACTTGAAGCTCTGCCCCATCCATACCTCATCCACAAGAAAGACAGTGAATGGCTGAGGAGGAAGGTGGCTATTATCTGGACTTCTGGCTTCATGTGAGGCTCAGAGTCTGTATGAGTGTTCCTCAGCCTTGACTAGGAGCCTCTTTATTTGGGTTGCTCTATTTGAGTATCTCTGATGGACCAAGGGGGACCCAGGAAAAATGGAGTCATTGATCACCCAGTACCTTGCTGTGCCACCTTGCTGCATCAGTGCACTCACATCCTCAATGCCAGAGAAAAAACTCACTTGCTAATGGCATTCTGTGTCTGAGGCCCCTTCACTGGTGAGCATTCAGGCATCTATCCATTGCAGGACTTGTGAAGGAAGAAGGCATGGTGATAGGATGACCTGTGAAGAGTATATATGGGCCACTTTCAGGTTTCTTTGAAGAAATAATATATGATCCCAGTTCTGAAGGATGGGAGGGAATGAGCTATATAGAGATTAGGGTGGGGGCAGTGCAGACTGGAGGTTCCCCAAATGGAGAACATGTTTGACAAGTTTAAGGGATTGAAAGTAGTTACTGTGGCTGGAGTGTAGAGTGTGAAGGACAGAGTAGTGTGAAATGAAGTTGGCATTGAATGGAGGAAACGATGCAGGGCCTTATAGGCCATGGTCAAGAGTTTGGATATTAAGTACTACTGAGGTCATTGGGAGGCTTTGAGTGAAGGAATGGCCTGGTTTGATTTACATTGTTAAGTTTTCTTCTGGCTGCATAGTGAAGGATGGACTGTGGAGGAGAGAAGTAGAAGCTGGAATCTGGACAGAGGACATGTTGCAGCCTGGGTGAGGATTTGTGGTGATATAAGCCAAGCAGGGCTGTGGAGAGTGAGAAGTGCCCAGGGCTGGTGCATATCAGAGTCTGACACACTGGAGACGGGCTGTGAAGAGTGAGAAGGACCTGGGATGACAGACAGATGGGTGGGTGGTAGGGCCTGAGGGAAGAACAGAATTTGAGGGGAGAACAATACTTTCCTTTGGACATGTTTGATTTGAGGAGCCTTATAAACCCTCATGTAGAGAAATCCAGCAGGCTTTGAGGCAGAGCTTGCAGGGTCCTCAGCAGAGGAGTGAAATCTCTCTCTTGATAATACCAGGGATTTAAAAGTGGGTTAGGCCATTCCTTTCCTATAGGCATATGACATAATGGTTTACATGTTATGGTCATTATCCTATCATTATATGTTACAGTCTATTTTATTTAACTCATTCAAGAAAATGTTTGGATTTCTTGAAATAAATAAATTTGGTGCTAGATGTAGGGGACCTAATGATACATGGGATGGACTGAGTGGTCTGTAGATTTGGTAGTATCTGTAACAGTGAAGATGGATTGATCATTCCTTCAAAATTAAGTCAAGAATTCCATCAGGAGGGATTCCATCAGTAATTAAGTGGAGTATCATATGTTTTATGACTTGAGAACCAGACTGTGAGACAATAGCAGAGGTACTGACCTAGTCACCAGGTGGGCTGGGGATGTTCAGCAACCAGTGAGTGCTAGAGGAGCTGGCGGGTGAAGTGTGCTTCAGAGGGAACAGTTAGTGGTGGGTGGGCCAGCAGTTTGTATTGGAGTGAAAATGAACAGAATCCTTTCTGGGAACTGCACATTCTGTGGAAGGTACTCAAGGATTCCTTGGCAAGATTATGTAGCATATAAGAATGCTCATACTAGTGTCATTGCTACTGCTTTCACATAGGTAAATTTGTTAGTTACCAGGAACTTCCACCGCTCTGTGCTATTATTTGGGGGTAGAAAATAGAGTGTGAAATTGACATCTCATATGACTTCACAAACACCATTATCAGAATGATGTAGTTATCTGAGGACAACAACTCCTTAGATTCACCAGCATTAGTGCTAAGTTTATGGAACTTAAACATCATAATGGAGGTGTTCACATATATTCACAGTAGTAGGACCCCAGAAGAAACTGAATCCACTTTGTCATAGATTGAATAGCAATCTTGGATAATCCTTGCAGAATTTAAAGAAGCTATTTTTAATTTTCCCAAGGTTTACTGGTATATTCTTCCCAAGAGCTAACACCTTGTTCAGGATCCTGTTGTAAATGGCACAAGCACCTTGTTTGCCAAGGAGAATGTACACGGGTGTGTCAGCCGTGGATCACTGCTCTGACCAGAGTTGTGAGGGATAGTTGGGCCTCTGGAAGAAGTGGCTCTATTGCTGCTGTCGTGTCACTGGGCTAAGCTCCCTGCACAACCTCCCTGACTAGCTGCAGTCCCTGGGTTAGCAGAATTGGTACAACAGGGAGAAACACTGCTCAGGGCAACAATGGGAACACATGGAGGCCCCCCCCCCCCCGTCATGTCCAAGCAGGAGTAGAACAGGTCACCTGGGAGCTTGAGAGAAGGCTGTAACCAGTGGCCCAGTTGGAAGTGTTCTGGGGAACACCTGCTAGTTCTCTTGAGCTGGTCTCAGGTCAGTGGGGAGGGAGGAGACTGGCCCATGTTGGACTCCAGCAGCAAAATTGTTTTTCACATGTACAATCTCATCCCTCTTTATGGCCTATGTCAAAAGCCACATCCTTTATATGAATTTCTATTCCTTACCCTCAACAGGAAGGAATCTTGTTCCTTCCCAGACCTGCACTCACCACTGGCCTTCTAGCTGGTCTGTGAATGCTGTGCCCCCATGGCTCCTGATGCCCTTGAATCAGTCTCCTGTAGGGTGTGTGTTTGTGGGAGGGGCCCCAGACCTATTAAGGTCTCTTAGTAGAGAACAAATGGTTAGGGATACTATTTTCTTTGTTCTGTTTTGTCTCATAGGGGGATACAGCTAGTTTTTACTTTCCTTCACTTCTGAAAAGGTTGTTTGTGAGATCTGATAGTTGTGTAAGGTTACTGTCATAATGGAAACTTTTTCTTTTCAGATAATGTGGATGCAAGTGATCTTAAGCCGTTTTTTGAGACCAACTATTCTCAGATATATTTCATCTTCTATGAAAATTTTATAACACTGGAAAATAGTTTGAAATTAAAAGGTAAGGATTTCTACAAAACAATTGCTTTTTTTCTTTTATAGTTTATTGTAAAGTTGGTTTCCATATAACACCCAGTGCTCATCCCAACAAATGCCCTCCTCCATGCCCGTCACCCCCCTTCCCTTCTTCCCTACCCCCATTAGTCCTCAGTTTGTTCTCAGTGTTCAAGAGTCTCTCATTGTTTGCCTCCCTCCCTCTCCCCAGCTGTTTTCTCCCCATCCCCTCCCCCATAGTCGTCCATTAAGTTTCTTCTAATCCACCTATAAGTGAAAACATATGGTATCTGTCTTGTTCTGCCTGACTTATTTCGCTCAGCATAACACCCTCAAGGTCCATCCCTGTTGCTACAAATGTCCAGATTTCATTCTTCCTCATTGCCATGTAGTATTCCATTGTATAGATAAACCACATCTTCTTGATCCATTTGTCAGTTGATGGACATTTAGGCTCTTTCCATAATTTGGCTATTGTTAAAAGTGCTGCTATGAACATTGGGGTACATATGCCCCTATGCATTAACACTTCAGTATCCCTTGGGAAAACAATTGTTTTCTATAAGTTTTTTTTAATGTCCAGAAAGTGTAAAAGGTTGTATGTGTCGTGAGTTACAAGTTGTTGGGAGATTGCAGTGGTTAGCATCTTTGTTTCCCTTAAGGTTTCTCTTATGTAGCTGTTACTTGAACAACAAATGACTGAAGGGAAAATGGAAGAAGAAACCCACAGAAGGCATGAGTTCCACAGGAATAATTTACTTAAAAAGAAAAAATAAAAGTAGTATGGACACACTGTAAAAAAATTCAGACTCCATTAAGGGGTTTGTAATGAAATTTGAACCATACGTTTTGCCTAGACCCCCAGTCCTGCTCTCCACGCAACCACTATTAAAAGTTTCATGTATTTCTTTCTCTATATGGTATTAATGGGTTATGTTTATATTTGTTTATGGTTATGCCCATATCTACTTACATAAGATATTCTTTGAAAAACCAAGTCAATAACGTCCACTGCACAGTCCTGCACAGTCCGTTCTGTATTTAGGTGACAGGATAGTGTAGCCTGGGGATCTACCCTGGGTTTGGATCCTGGCCCTACCCTTCTGGCTGTTTCTCCTTGGGCAACCTCCCTCTGACTCATCTATCAGCATTGGACAGGTTAAAATGTATCTGGGATTTCAAGACAGAGTGTGGCACATAGTATGTGCTCAGTAAATGTTGGCTGCCATCATCACCTTGTTTATTTTCATGCAGTCTGTTTTGGAAATCCTTACATGTTAGCACCCTTATTTCTGCCTCAGTTTTATTTATTTATTAAACAAGCTTTTTATTTGAATCTAGTTGACACATAACATTACATTAGTTTCAGGTGTACACATTGTGCTAGGTTCACCACAAGTGTAGCTACTACCTGTCATCATGCAGCACTATTACAGTACCAGTGACTATCTGTATTTATTATGCTGTGCCTTTCATCCCTATGACTTGCTCATTCCACACCCGGAAGCCTGTACCTCCCGCTTCCCTTCACCAATTTTGCACATTCCTCCCAATACCCCCTCCCCTCTTGCAACCGTCAGTTTGTTCTCTGGATTTATAGTTTGATATTGCCTTTTGTTTGTTTACTCATTTGTTTTGCTTTTTTTTAGATTCTACACATGAGTGAAACCATATGGTATTTGCTTTTCTCTGTCTGACTTACTTCACTAAGCATTATATCCTCTAGGTACATCCATGTTGTTGCAAAATGTCAAGATGTCATCCTTTATTATAGCTGAGTAATATACCCTTGCATATATATACATATACACACATACACACACCACTGCATCCTCTTCCTATGGACACTTGGGTTGCTTCCGTTCCTTAGCTATTGTAAGGAATACTGCAGTAGGCATAGGGGTGTGTATGCTTTCAGAATGTTGAGTCTGGTTCATAAGCTGCCATGACAACAGTGGGAACCCTGGAGCGGAGCCAGGTTTGGGAGGGAGGAGGATGAATGTAGCTTTGGGCAGTCTTAGTTGAGATGCCTTTGGGATACTCAGATGTTGGTTCTGGCTGGATAGTAAAAATATAGGGACTGGAGCTTAGGAGAAGAGAGGGGCAATTGTGCTGTTGCCAAGGGAGAAATTCTTTGCAGAGAAAGTGACAGGGATTTTGGATAAGTCCTTCTTTTATTGGACAGATAAAAAGGAAAGATAAAGAAGTAGTGCTTGGGGCTGGGAAGGCAGTTGGGTGCCAGGAAAGAGTTTTGTCATAGAAATTCAGAGAAAGAGAATTTCAAGGAATGAAGTGTGATCAACATCTGACGATGCAAAAAGTAGAGCCGTAGGACTAGGACGTGGCAGCGCATCGAGGAAGTTGTTCCCGAGTGCTGAAAGAATGGTCTAGCTGAGTAGTGGGATCAGAAACCAAATGGGGAGAAATGGAGTCAGTGAAGGCTACACACAAGAATACCCTTTTAGAAGGTTTGATGATGAAGACATCACCTTAAATGTCAAAAGACATTCATTTGATGATGAAGAGGATTGTATCTCAAGGAGTATCTTGGTCATGCAAGAGTTTTGAAGGATGCCCTTGCCTGTTTGCAGACTGATGAAAGAGAGATAACAGATGATGCAGGTGTTGGGGGATGTGGGTTGAGACAGAATCAGGTATATAGAAGAGGATGCAGAGAGGCATGTATAGATGCCCTGACTGCTTCTGTAAAACCTGAGGCAGATGTTAGGCACGGAGGGGAAGGACTGTGGGACAACACACTGTGGTGGTCTCTGACATAGAGACTAGGCTCTTGAAGGTCAACAAATCAAATATGGACATGTGTCCAAGGATGCCAACAGGTGATTTTGTTTTTTGTTTTTTAATGAATTGCTCAGGTTTTCCCCCTGTGATTAACAAATTCATTTAAATCTCGAGCTTATTTTTTTCCAAATTGTTAGATATTTCAGATATGAAACAATTTGATTTTTAATTTGTTTTCCAGTTTTGCTCCACTTTTTCCCACAGGTGTGTGGAGGAAAAAAGTGTGATATTATGGGTAATCAAAATACCAAAAGAAATATATTAAAATCTCTTACCTTAAAGAAAGCCCTATAAACAAAAAGCCCCATTTTATTTATTTTTTTAATGTTTATGTATTTTTGAGAGAGAGAGACAGACAGACAGAGCACAAGTGGGGGAAGGGCAGAGAGAGAGGGAGACAACAGAATCTGAAGTAGGCTCCAGGCTCTGAGCTGTTAGCACAGAGCCCCATGTAGGACTTGAACTCACGAACTGGGAGATCATGACCTGAGCTGAAGTCGGATGCTTAACCGACTGAGCTACCCAGGCTGCCAAGCTCCATTTTAAAGGCTACTCTGTCCCTCCTTTCCCTCCCTATTGCTTTCTTTGTCCTTTTAGAAAAATCTCATTGCTCAAGGCTGTATCAATTAGTTTGTGCTGCATAACAAATTACATTATAAACTATCCCAAAACTAGTGCTTTAAAAGAACCAGTCATGAAAAAATAAATAAATAAAAGAATGAGTCATTTAGCTTATAATTTTCTGGGTTTGTTGAACAGTTCCTCAAGTTTAGGCTGGCACATGCTTCTCGCATCAGCTGGTAGTGGATAGGCTCATTTACATGTCTTGTAGTTGGCAAGCTATTGACCAGGGCATCTTAGTTCTCCTCCATGCTAGCAGGCTATCTTGAGCTCCTTTACATGCTGGCCTTAGGGTTCCAAGCTCAGCAAGTACATTAGGCTTTTTAAGGTTGTGCTTGCCTCCCAGTTGCTAATGTCACATTGGCCAGAGCAAGCTACAGGGCATCTCAGATGCAACATATAGAGAAACAGACATCTCCTGATAGGAGAGGAAAAACTGTCTTCATTCTTGCAGTCTACAATAAAGAATCATAGTGAAGAACCAATAAAAATAGGGTGAGATTTTGCAATTTCTTGCTTTTAATACAATCTGTGTTTTGATTGGAGTACCAGTAAGAAAGTATACCAAAACAGCAGAATAAAGGAAGATGTTTGCTAGAAATAATGAAATTATCTTGTGATAACCAGCCTTATTGGCTCTACCTTCAAAATATATCCAGAATCATTGGCCTCTTCTCACTACCTGTGCTGGTAATGCTAGTGCTCCCATTATGTTCACCTGGATTATTGCATGCCCCAGAAAAATGGTCTTTCCCTTTCCACTGTTGCACCCTGCACCCCTTCCATAGTCTCTTCAGTAGAGCAGTTGGAGTGATGCTTTAAAAATGTTTCAGATCATGCCTTAGCACTCCGAACCCTCAAATGGCTTCCCAGTTCTGGAAGTAATTATAGTGGTCTTACATCCTACCTGCCTGCCTTTATCCTACTGCTTTCTAACCTCATCTGATGCAGTTCTCCTCCTTCATTCCAGACACAAAAGCTTTCTTACTGTTTCCTGCCAAACTTGCTCAGCCATATGGACTTTACACTGTCCAATTCCTCTGCCTAGAACACATTTCTCCCAAATTTCTATGTGGCTTCTTCCCTTTCTTCTTTCAGATCTTTGCTCAGATGTCATCTCATCAGCCCTGTGTTTTTTTTGACTTCTCTAGTCAAAATTGCATACCATGCCTTTTGGCTTTCCCATCTACCTTCCCTCTTATTTTTCTCATTTATTGGATGCTTCCTCCTGTCAGAATATAAACTCCTCAGGGCAAGGATTGTTGTGTTCTGTTCACTCCTGCATCCTCAGGTACTGAAAGAATCCTTAGAATGACACAGAGCCCTTCTTCAGTATTTGTTCAATGAATGAATGCTATCTTACCTCATAGAGCTGTGGGGACTCAGTTACATCAGGGGTCCACAACATACAGCTTAGTGCCTGTTTTTATAAATAATTTTTTGGACACAGCCATACCCAGTTCATTCATGTGTTATCCATGGCTGTTTTTACCCCATCATGGCAGAGTTAAATGGTTGCAAGAGAGGTTGTAAAGCCTAAAATATTTACTATCAGCCCTTTACAGAAAAAGTTTCCTAAGCTAGTTGCTGAATGCCAAGCACTTAGCACAGGGCTTGCTGCTTAGAAACTGGACAGTAAGTGAAAATTGCTGCTATAGGTTTTTAGTTTTTATTATTGTTATTATCAAAAGGACTGTGTGCAATTGCCTAAAGAGTTGCATGACTTTTTATAGTTAAGACTGCTGTATGCCCTTTCATATCAAAAAAGTGAAAATTCTTTCTTTGCTTTTGCTGTACATTCCATCATAACTTGAGCTCAGAAGTAACTAATTAAGAAATGAGTAAATTGCCTTCCATGGGTTGATAGTGACCTGGAAAATGTGGAAGCCGTGTTTAAAGAGTTAGTGAGGAGAACCTCTGCTAGATGTGGGCTCGGGTGGTCTGGCTTGGGGTCCGTCTATATCCCTGATGTGGGTTCCACACTACCTCCTCGTAGTTTTTGAATGTATCTTGAAGTTTAAATGTTTTTGATATAACATAATTCTTAATATCCTAAAATTTATACTTTGTCATGATAACTACTGTTTTTTATGTATTCCAGGGAATAATAAGTCACAAAGGGAGGAGCTGGACTCCATCCTCTTTCTTTTTGAAGTAAGTTTTTGTTAATTCATTTAGCTTTTAAGATTTTTGCTGAAAATATGATATTTTAGGCCTTAATTTCATTTGAAGACATAAAACATGATAGGTATGTATTTCTTTCCTTCCTCTTTTACAAACAATGCTGCCAAGAATGTTCTTGCGATTTTTTTTTTTGGAAAAGTGGAAGAATTTTTGCTATATGGTTACCTAGATGTGGAATTGTTAGATGGAAATGTATACACATTTCAAATACTGGTATTGTCAAATTGCTCTTCAAAAAGGTCATATAAAGTTATATGTAAACTTATATGGAAATTGTGTGTGTGTTTCCCCAACCAACACTGGTGACTTTTTTTTTTTCATATATGCAAACTGTTGTGTGAAAACTTATTCTTTTTAATATATTTTTCTGACCACTAGTGAGATTTCAATCTTTGTATATATGTGTGTGTTCATGTGTGTTGATTGTTTATTCTTTTTTTTTTTAACTTTATTTATTTTTGGGAGAGATTGAGCACATACCAGCTGGGGAGGGGCAGAGAGAAGGAGAGAGAGAGAATCCCAAGCAGATTCAATGCTGTCAGAACAGAGCTGGATGTGGGGCTTGATCTCACGATGACCTGAGCTGAAATCAAGAGTTGGTCATTTATCCGAGTGAGCCACCCAGGCACCTCAGATCATATATTCTTTTAAAGGTTGAAACAATATTTGGGTGTGGTTCTTGACCTATTAAGCTTAAAGTCTTTCTTGTCCACATGTATTAGACAAGTGGCCAGATTACTGATACCTTCGCAACTATACTAGAATCAAATTGTACGTTCTGAAAGTTAATTGTTGGTTATCTAAAAATTATTCACGATTTGAAGAGACGTGCTTAGGTTGGTGTGAGGTCAACTTTATGACTCTAAAGGACATATTTGTTGCAGAGCTGGCTGGAGGGGGAGGCCAGGGGAGAAGGCTCTCCATGGACTTTTTGGATTTGTGGATTTATGAAATAAAATAGATCTGGAAACCTCTCTGGCCCAGTACTTGACTCATGGTTGGTACTCAGTAACTGTGGTTCCTCTTTCTTTCCTTTAAGGGCTATACTCCTTCTCCAGAGTAATAACTGCATTATTTTATGGTGGTTGCTGTATTTCATTCTTGTGAATGAAACCTGTGCAGAGGAGTTGTTTTTAACAGGATCTTTAAGTCTGTCACTTAAATATGTATTTAATGATCATCATTTGTTTGAACTATTTCATTAATATAAATTATCTTATATATGTAGCACTTGATATATTTACTAAAGGATCTATAACATAAATACAAGTTTTGAAGCATGGCCATAAAGCTTATTCTCTTGATCCCCCCCTCCCCCTCTCGCATTTTAAGTAGTGGAAAGTATTTAGGTGCTTCTCCTTGATCCTGTTCTTTTTCTCCTCTGGAGGCAGTCACTCCCTTGGTTTATGCTTTTCCCTTTCTTTTTTAAAAACGGTTTTACCACAAGTATTTGTATCCCTAAACAATGCATTGTGCAGTTTTGTTTGGTTTTGATTGTAATAAAAATGGTCTCACATGGTATATAATCATCTGTGGCTTGCCTTTTACACTCAACATTATTTCTGAGATTTATCCATGTTTTGAATTTAGCTCAAGTCCATTCCATTCCCACTGCTGGATTAAGTGGATATGTATGATTTATTTAATGCCAACATTTTGTTTATAGATTTAATTTTTGTTGTTTTCTTGGTCGACAAGAAACACTGGTTGTGAATAATGACAAGCTTGCCAGTTAGTCTGTTTTCTTGTCTTACTGTACCAGACCAGCCCTCCAGTTTGTTGGTATATAGACATGATAAAGATGGCCATCCTGCTTCTGATTCAAAGCAAGTTTTGTTAATGTTTCATTATTCAGGGTAATGTTTTCTATAAAGTTTTGGTAGATAGTCTTTATCAGATGAAGTTCACTTCTATTTTTAGTTTGGTAAGTTTTATAAGAAGTCATAGATGGGTTTTGAAGTTTCCAAAAATTTTTTTTCTGCATTAACTGAGATAACCATGTGATGATCCTTCATGAATATTTATGTGGTGAATTGCAGTTCTGAATTTGGGAGATGCTAATACTTTGTTTCCATTTTTGGATCTATGTTCAAACCTCAGGTTGGCCTAAATTTCTTTTCCTCACATTGTTTCTGAATGATCCTATTATAAAGGTTGTAGAACCTGGTGTTAAACATTCTTTTTCTATTATATAAAATAGTTTGTGTAAGATTGGAATGATCTGTTCCTGGAATGTTTTTTAATATTTCCTGTAACAACCATCTGAAACTGGTGCTGTTTTGTTTTGGTTTTAGTGGGAAGATTTTTAACACTCTGTTCAGTTTCTTTAATCATTTTAGGATTTTTCAGGTTTTCTATTTTTTTTTTTTTTGATTCAGGTTTGGCAAACTATATTTTAAGAATTTGAGTAGTTCTAGGGGCACCTGGGTGGTTCAGTCTGTTAAGCTTCTGACATTGGCCTAAGTCATGGTCTCATGGTTCATGGGTTTGAACCCCGCATCAGGCTCTGCGCTGGCTTCCTGAGCCAGCTTGGGATTGTTTCTCCCTCTCTCTCTGCCCCTGCCCTGCTTGCTCTCATTCTGTTTCTCTCAAAATAAATACATAATTTAAGAAAAAGAATTTGAGGAATTATAAGAATTTCTGATCAACAGAGTTTTAAAATTTATTGGTGTGACCCTTCTTTTAAGGGTCATAATTCCATATTTCTTTCAGTTTTATCTACTCCGCATTGATCTTTATTGTCTTCAATTGTTATGTATATTAGACAACAGTATTAGCAGTAGCAACAAGTAAAAGTACTTGTGTCCTCTTTACAAATATTTTGCTAGCTTCTGGTTACCATTGCAGCAGCTTTAAACTCTGTTCCCTGTCTACTTGTTCCTTTAAATGCCTTTTCTCTCTGGCTTCTCTTAAAATGTTTTTCTTAGTATTTGGTGTCCTGCAGCTTCACCATAGAATGTCTACTTGAAGATTTCTTGTCTTGCTTGGTATCTATGTGCTTCCTATATTTCTGGATTCAGATCATGTAAGATTTCTGTAAGACAGCTGCTATCTTCTCAAATGTTGACTCTTTTCTGTCCTTCTGGGGTATTTCTCAGGATTCTTGTTTAAAACTCTTGCTCTGTCCTCCATGTCTCTCCAGCATGCTTTCACCCTCTTCCCCAGCCTCCTTGTGCTGCACTCAGGGAATGTCTTCAGTTCTGCCTTCTGGTTGCATGAACTCCTCGTCCGGGTCTCATCTGCTGCTGAAGCATTCTACTGTGTTTAGATCGCAATTATTGTTTTTTCATGTTTTAACTTCCTTAAGTTTGGTGTTCATGGGTGGCTGGTTGCTTTTGATAGGCTCTCAATCCTTGTTTGGTGTTAGACCTCTTGTTTTCTTGAACATTTAACAACGTAACATTTTGTATTCTATATCTGATCATTCCAATATTTAGCCTTCAGTTGTCTAAATCTGCTGTCTCAACGTGGCTTCTTTACTTACATGCTTTTTTGACTGGATTTTGAAATCAGATTTAATTAAACATAGATTTAGTTGAACATAGATTTAATCTGTTTCAATCCTGTATTTTTCTGGAAGGTTTACTTTTCTTTTGCCAGGAGGCTCGAAGTGTTCTTGGGACCACTTTGGCTCCATTTGAGGATCCTGATTTATAAATGGAATCTCAGGTTCATTCCTGAAACTTACGGTGTGGTGGGAACTGGACTCTATAAGGCACAGACTAGATCTGAGATCTTGCAGTAGAATTGGCCTTAGTTCTCAGGCAGCCTGAATTGTTTCTCTTGAGCTTGTTGCTTACAGATTAGGTTTTTGGTTGACTTTTCTTCTCTCACCTTCCTTCTTGCTACCTCCTTTCCTACCATTTTTTAAGTCTTTTGTTAGGTTCTCAGTATTTTCTAAAGCCCAGATGTGTTTTGAGAATTACATTTGCTGCCACTGATTGCAAATCTAGTTGTCCTGCAGTGAGAAAGCCTATTAGGGACCGTAGTCGTATACCTCCCACAGAGGAGGTTTTAATACCTTCTCATGTCCAGAAATTCTAGATTAGGGAGTGTGTTATTACAGATACATTACCGTCTACAGAGGATTATTTGCCTATATAATAGAACAAATATATATTATTCAAAGCTTCATAAAACTTTCATTTTGCATAGTAAATATGAATGAATAATGAACTGGCATTACTTTTGTTTATGCTTATGTTCTCTTTCTGTCTCTAGCTATAGAAGGTAGGTTGTAATTTGTTTGGTTCATTCTGAGAATTAAGTAACTTCATTGCTACTTTCTACAAGTTAGTGCCATATAAAGAGATGGTTTACGAGGATTTGGTGGTAAATACTTATCAAGGTGTAAATAATTGGGGAAGGCTTCCTTTACAAGAGGTGGAATTATTAAGACATGTTAAATCACAGAAGGGATATCATGTAAAGACAGTCTGTAAATAGGAAGTGGATTGGAAGAAAGCACAGAGGTGAGAGAGAGAGTTCAGAAGGCTCGGAAGGAGAGTATGTAAGGAGATCTGCTGACTGGCTCTGTAAGTCAGGGGCAACCTAGAAGGGAACCTTTGTGAAAGGAAGCAGTAGTGTTTGCATGTAATGAGATACTGGAGACATTACAGTGCTCTGATGAAGCAAGTGGTGTCCAGTCAAGGCTGCCAGCTCAGTTGAAGTCATGGTTTCAGGCAGCAAGCACACCTTTCCATCTGCCTTTATCTCCAGTGGAAGGACTTGTAGTCTTTGAAGTTGACCTCCAGACACCTTTCTTTGCCTGTGGCTGCAAATCTGTGCATTGCTTAGAGTTCCTGTGGTTGCTGGTTCATGGAGATGTCTGTCACACTTTCTTTTTTTTTTTTTTTTTTTAATCTGAAATTCACTTGTTAATTTTACTCTTTTAAAAATATATTTCATTGATCATTGTCATGTGTTTCAAATGAGAGTGGGGAGCTGATAGTGTGGGACCCCATGAAATG